CTGGAGGACTTTAGATATCCTCGGCAAACAGGTTCCTTTGACCATAACGACAATGTCATCAGCATAAGCTTGTATTTCCACACCAACGGCTTCGACTATCGCAATCAGATCGTCAACTAGGAGGGACCAAAGCAGGGGAGATAACACCCCTCCCTGCGGGCAGCCACCTCCCGGCCTGAAGCGTATCGTATCACCGTGGAGTGAAGTAGAAACTATTCTACTATCTAGCATATTGCGGATCCAACCCGCTATAGTTTCTTCCACTCCCCTGTCAAGAGCAACTCTTTCAAGAGATTGTGGTATTGCGTTGTTGAACGCTCCCTCTATATCCAGAAACGCACAAACCAAGATTTCTTTATCCTGCAGCGTCATGGATACTCTACCAACTAAGTTGTGTAAGCCAATTCTGCTGATTTTCCCGCTTGATAAGCATACTGGTGGCGACTCAGTGGACCAGATACCAATGGCACCGTACGGATATACCGTTCCAGAACTTTTTCAAGGGTTTTCAGCAGAAATGACGTTAGGCTGATGGGTCGGAAGGCATTAGGAGTGATTTAGTCCATTCTGCCGGCACATATTTCCAGGCGACACTCGCTCTGAAAATTTTTACCAAAATTGGCAACAACAAAGACCTCCCCTGCTGTAACAAAGCAGGAAAGATATTGTCTTCTCAAGGCGATTTGAACGGCTTAAACGTTTGAATTGCCTGGTCCGCGGATGTGTAAGTGACGACTTTTCTAGCCACACTCCAATCCGTATTTGAGGGGCGCTTTGCCTTTGATGAGTACTTAAAAATAATTGGAATTTTGAAAATAATAGTGATTCGAATTGTCGTCCTTGATCGTGAGTGATCATGGTAGGAATACCGAAACGGCTGAAGTAATGCCTGCAAAGAGTATCTGCAATAGAGGCTGCAGAGATATCTTTTAGAGGAAAACCCTCTGGCCACCGTGTGAAACGCTCAATGACCGTGAGCAGATAAGTACATCCAAGAGATGGAACAAGTGGGCCAACCAAATCAATGTGAATGTGTTCAAATCGAACTTTTGGAACTTTGATTTTGTATGCCTTTGTATCTTAACTTTCTGGCATTGTAAAATTTGCTTTTTAACTCACTATTAACTTAAACTTACTTTTTAAATTACAACAAAATCGGTGAGGGACAGTTCTCACACTTCCCTTGTAAGTAATAAAATATGGGGGTTGTCATTTAAAAAAATAAAGTAGCTGGCGACTTCCGGTATAACTGGAAGTGACTGAAAAGAACACAATTAATTATACTTAAATCTGAATTTTTATTTTGGCCAGAACCCCATAAACGTCTAATGAACGGTCTCGTTGAGACACCGGTATAACTTTTAAGATGATTAAGATATATTTGTTTAATTTTATAAATTTTGATAGGTTTTAGAACAAGGTTTACAACTACACGGTACGTTAGCTTCATCTGGAGTAAAACCATTACATCAACGTTTAATAGAAAGATGTGAACAATTAAAAGAAAGCTTGGGAGCATTAAACAAAATGAAAAGACAACCAGAAAGCATAGTAAAGTGAGTATTTAAACGAATATAACTTAACAGCTTTTTTAGTTTCCGCTGATTCGATTATTTCTTTTAAAAATATTATTTTTTGTTTGTATTTTTTTGTTTATTTAGTATGCCTTTACCGCCCTTGCCAGTAGACAATCGCTATCTTATTAAAACAAACAGTAATCGATCTTCAAATTCCAGTGGAAATTATGGATTCCTAGCGGAGGCCATCGTTGAGAACGACGACATTTACACGAAACCGATGGTTAGACGCATGAACGATGTGGTTGCTAAAACTATTTCAGCTGCTATCTATCACGTACACAATCTTTAGTTTTTTTTCTCTTTAAATTTTGCTAACCCGATTTTAATTTTTAACAGTTTGGGCATGATAACTTATTAATTTATTAACAGCATGAATTTTTTTATAATTATTATTTATTAATGTGTTATGCACCAATTTTTTTCGTAACATTTCAGTATTAGAGAGTAAATGATCTGAGTGTTTCTCCTATTTTGTGATATTAATACAAATGCACGTGACTAAAACAATTACACATTGTCTTTCACTAAAACACCTAAACCAAATCATCTTAAAATTCACACTCAATAAAATTATAGGAAGTAGAAAAAGCTCCAAGTAGAGATAACTTATCACTGCCAATGAATAATGCCTCGACAAGTGTAGCGCCACCAATACCCCAACGAGAAAGCAGACCACGTTCTCAAGGTTTTAATATGTGTTATGAAGGTATTAGAACACCCACAAGAGGCAGTGCGGATTACTCAAGTTTACCAAGTAATTTAAAATCAAGAGATTCAGATTCTGATATTCAATTACCGCCGAAACCGACACATTCTCGAGAAAGATCTTTAACCAAGCCACCCTCTCCGAGATTGTTACGACACTCTATGGGAACTCCAACTGAAGGAAATGGGCCGTTAAGAAATTCTTGGCCTGATGGAAGTGTCGATGAAGCCCCACCTCTTCCACCACGATCACACAGTAAGATTTATTGATAATTTTGTTAAAATTTTAAATTAATTTTTTTAGCTCCTGATAAACGAGTAAATTCGTTTCCAAATGACGTCCCACCAAACATACCAAAAAGGGGTCAAAAGAAATCGACATCTTCGGTGTTTAGTATTGAGTCAATGGTTGATATCACTTTGGATAATACATCTTTATCAGTTTTGACGAATAATTTGGCGGTTACGGAAGGAGAACAACACGATCTTCGAGATTCTGGTATTAGCATGTCTATGTCTGATCAAGCGAGTTTAAATAATTTCAATAACACTTGTTATGAAGAATTTGATTTGAGGGCGCACCAACAAGAGATGAATATTAGTACCAGTCCGGGTAACGTTAGTCCGAAATTGGAGAATCCACCACCGATTCCACCAAAAGGATTGAACTCGTCGTTGAATTCCAGCTTTGAGCTTATTGGGAGTTTGGAACGTGCCAATCGAAAGGATACGGTGGTGGTTGATACGACACCATCCCCGGAAAATTATTCAGTACCAAAGATGAAGAATGAAAGCGATGAAAATCAAAATAGTAGCCCGTGTTAAAAGAATAAAAAGTAGATGATGTCAGTTTGTGTAGAATTTCAGTGAGTTTAAAAAATTAAGGCCCACTTTTACCACCTCTTGATAAATTTAACCGATAGATAATTACCATGGTTACAACGGTTTTAAGCGCTCTCATTGGCTAAGAGTCCCAATTTATCTATCGGTTAAATTTATCAAGAGGTGGTAAAAGTGGGCCTAAATGAATTAAAAAAAGTAATAATAATTTTTTACGTTGTGATTTTATGTTAACCATCTTTATTTTTAAATCATTTTTAGTGTATTTATCATTCCCCTGCTCAGTATACAAAAATTTGTGTAATTATTCCATTGTTTTTACCATTTTTTAAAATTAAAATATAATTATTAATTGTGAAGATATTTTTTAGCTTTTTTATTATATTTATTAGTTTTCGATTTTGATAGGGAAAAAATTGTAATATTCTTTTTCTAAATAGGAAATGTGCCAATATTTAGGTACGAGATATCTTAGGTCAGAAAGTTAGTTCTATATCAACGAATCATTTCAAACTAATTAGGTATCTATTTTTATTAAAAAAGAAACTGATTTTACTCTCGCAGGTGGTACTTTTAATTGTAATCAATGATGATCTGTCAGGAACGGTGCTATTTTCTCAATGCAGCTGCACAACACACTACTAATTGTATTTAATCTTCCAATATATACCCCGGTTTATACATATATACCACGTGCAAAATCACGTCTTATTTACCTGCATTAAATAATGTAACTTTATAAGTATACTAGTCATATATGATATTTATTATTTATAAATTTCATGTCTATTTTGTACTACTGACCAAGTATTTTTGACCCCAACTTATTAAGTCATATATCATAATATGTAATTGTGAATGTAGAAGTAAAATAAAAAAAAGAGGAATTAAATTTGTTATTTCATTAAAATCCATAACATTAAAATTAATCCATAAGGGATATTGTTACTAATTCACACCCTTTTCAAACAATTTAATTAATGAACTAAATAATTTGAGCATTTTTTGAGTATGGTTGGGAGTACCATGAAGTTATCTAGCTCAATTTTTAACATTCTTGTAATAATTCGGGAATTATTTAATGGCTTTTGGGAATAAACCTTTTTCTTTTAGAAACCAAAAATCACGTCTCGCGTTTTAATGTCCAGGATGGAGATAGACTTGGGAAAAATTATTGTATCTGCAATTTTATGGGAAACGTAGATAGTGCGGAAAAATCGTTAAAAATAAAATTGGCGGTAGACCACGTAAAGTTTAATGGGTCCCACAGTTTGTGAATTATGTTATCTTCTGGCCCTGTGGTCAAAAATTGTTCCCGTCCCCAAATTCCCTCATTGGCTCAGAAAATTATTGTAAAACATCGAACATACAGGCGATAGGAACGCCTCAAGCAGGTTTTTGCACCCCTCCAACACCCGAGGTTACTTAAGAGATTGTAAGACTTTTTTTGAGACAATTACAATCAGAAGCAAATAATAATAATAAGCCTTTATTTAGATAATGTAGGTAGGAGATCAACTGGCGAAGTTTAGCCCAAGGCTATTCTGTACTTAACCAGTTACTCTCCCAAACAAAAGGAGTAATGACATGATTCAATTGGAAAATACTGCTGATGGATACAACAATTAATAATGTGTGTAATATATTTATCAATAAATGGACTACACAATTTTAACATTTTCACTGTCATACCATCAGACTAAGAATTAGGAAGCACGAAATACTGTTTCTGGTGGCAGCGGTATTACCAAAGGTCGAAATCGTTCACATTTCCCAATTTTTTTTTGGCCCAATCAATTTACTCAATGCAAAAAAGAACATGATTATCATGTTCCCATTTTTAATTTCGATTCTTTGCTTTGTGTTAGCTTGAAAATTGCCTGCTAACCATTTACTTTTAGCCTCCATTTACCACAAAACTTCGCTCTTCAGGCAATTTCTCACTCTTTGTAACAAACTTTCCAAGCTTCGAATACCATGATTTTTTTTAAATAAACTTCTCTTAACTATAATAATTTTTTCAGACAAAAAAATAAATTAATTAAATTTATTTATTTAATTTTGATTATTAATTATTTATTTCCAATTATTTTTATTAATATTCATATTTAAATGTTAATGTTTAAAACATAACCTTTTTCGACAAGTAATTTATTAGGGAAATTTTGAAATTATTACCAACCTTGAAACTCAAAATTCGAGAAATTATAAAATATTTAATAATTTTTTATAAAAAGCACATGTCAATTTTCAAAGTGGTCCCCAAAACTTTTCTATTCGCTAAAAAGAAACGAGTTTTGTTCTATCTTATTCAGAACAAATCAAAGTTACTTATTTCGTATCTTTCAAGACGATCTGTTTTCTTATTAAAGAGAAATTAATGGTTTTTTAAGACGAAACATGCCGAAAAAAGTAGTTCAGAAAATCAAATGAGACGTCTTTGCCTTCGTGAGGTTGGTAATGGAAATGATTAAATGTCACTAAGTTTAAATAAATTTTTTAAAATAATTTTAATTAAACTAATTACATAATATACTACTATTGATATAATAATATCAATTTTTTGTTTTTATTTGTTAATTATTTATTTCTATGTTAATTGGGTTTCACGATAATCTCCAAAACTTTACCACATTTAGTACTTTTATTTTCTTTAAATTGGTATTACGAAATTACTAACCTCCATAACAAACAATTTGAGGTTATACGCATTTTTAAATCTAAAATGTTTAATCAAAATTGTTACATTTCAAGCGCTGCAAATGCAACTCCTCAAGCTGTTCATTGGGGTAACAACAACCTAATTTGTTACGCTTCTTGTAACGCAATTTTAATATATGATCCTACGGTAATAATAACCAGAACTTTTAAACATAACCTTTATATCTTGTAATTGTATTTTATAGATTGGAAAAGTTGTAAAAACTCTTTGTAAACATACAAAAAAGGTGAATGCTGTAAAATGGATTAGGGGCGTTTCCTATGAAAAAGAATTTGTGTCTTGTTCAGCTGATGGAAATGTTATCGTATGGAGTCTTAAAGATAAATCGTACAATCCCGTTGTACTTGAAGGTCATAAAGGGACTGTTAGCATTTTAGAAGCAATGTATAAAGATGAAACTGGTGATTATGCTATTGTGGTATCAGCAGGTGTTGATTCTACAATTAGAATTTGGTCTCGTGAAGTATTGGAGGGTAAAAAAATTTAGAGAAATTTTAAATCATAATAATTTATTATAATAATATTAATTTTTTAAGGCGATTTTAACCCAATTCAAGAAATAAATTTAGGTTATAGCTTGTGTATAGCCATTAAATTAACTTATCTACCTTGCAAAACACTTTTACTTGCTTGTGGAATAGATAATAATAACATTGATCTTTATGTGGATTCAAATAAAGATGTGATTGAATTTTCATTAGCAACAAATCTTAAAGGACATTCCGATTGGGTTAGAGCAATTGATTTTAAACAATACGAGGATAAATTCTTATTAACAAGTTCTTCTCAAGATTATTACATTCGCATGCATGAAATAAGTGTAGGAATTGCTGGTGTCACTAGTATTGACTTCAAAACATCCAAACAAACTTATAAAATTGAATTACAATCAATTTTAATGGGCCATGAAGGTTGGGTTTATTCAATAAATTGGTCCCCAAACGATGTTAAATTACTCTCAGCATCGATCGATAAAACTCTGGTTATTTGGGAATTTGATAAAATTGCAAATCTTTGGTTAGAAACAACAAGATTAGGAGAAGTTGGAGGAAACACTTTAGGTTTTTATGGCGCTATGTTTTCTCCAGATGGTAAATCCATCATAGCCCATAGTTACCATGGCGCTTTTCACATTTATAATTACATTCCTGATTTAAATATTTGGGATTCAATGGTAACCGTTGGTGGACATTTTGGGGAAGTCACTGATTTAGGTTGGGAACCCAAAGGGGAATTTTTAATATCAGCTTCAGCTGATCAAACCACTAGAGTTCATGCTCCATGGAAAACTGAATCAAATACGATTACTTGGCATGAAATCGCTCGCCCACAAGTTCATGGGTATGATTTGAGCTCATTGGCGATTTTATCTCGATATAAATATGCCTCAGGGGCTGAAGAAAAAATAGTTCGTGCTTTTCAAGCTCCCACTAATTTTGTTGAAAACTTTAAAAGAATTTGTTTTATTGAAGAAGAAGAAGAAGAAGATAATGGTAATTTAAGCATATTTAATAAATCTTTTTACAATTAATTTTGATAAATTTTAGATGAAATATTACCTAAAGGAGCATCTGTGCCATCTTTAGGATTATCAAATAAAGCTGTTTTTGAAGATAACAACGAAATGGAAGCTAAACCAAAGGATCATAAGAATCCTTATCCTGAAGAATCTTCTTTTAGCGCGGTTGATTTATACAGTTAGTTTTAATATTAAAGATTTTTTTGAACATTATTAAGGCGTGTAAATTTTTTTTTTTAATTTCAGATCCTCCAACCGAAGAAACTTTAATCCAAAACACTTTATGGCCAGAAATCCAAAAACTCTATGGGCATGGATATGAAGTCTATGCATTAGCAGCTTCATCAGATGGAAAATTTTTAGCGTCTACTTGTAAATCAACCACAAAAGAACACGCTGCTATTTTACTTTGGTATTTTATATTTATTTATTAAAAAAAAATGAATTATTTGAATTTACTTTAGGGATACATCTTCATGGCAATTACATCAAAAACTCCACTCACACACCTTGACGGTAGTCCAAATGTCCTTTTCACCAAATTGTAACTATTTATTATCGGTATCCAGGGATAGAAGGTGGTCACTTTTTGAAAAAACGGACGAAAATAAATTTGAAATCGTCGCTACGACGGATAAAAAAACCGGAATTCATAGCAGGATAATTTGGTGTTGTAATTGGTCGCATGACTCGAAATATTTTGCGACTGGATCTAGAGATGGAAAAGTTGTTATTTGGACGAAAAACGAAGAAAAACCCGTTGAAAATGTACTCGGAAAAGTTGAAGCGGCTTCAAAACCACTAGAAAATAAAGAATCTGTAACTGCAGTTGGTTTTGGACCCGTTTTAGATAATAACGGTTGTTACATTATTGCTATTGGATTTGAAAATGGAGAAATCCATGTTTATAAGTGGTTAACTGAGTGGAGTTTGGTTCATACTTTAGATAATGGGTAATTTTTGATTAATTTTTTTTTAATTTAATGTGTTTTTTTTGGTGTTTTTAGCGCTGCACATCATTTAACTGTAAAACGATTGGCGTTTAGACCTGTGGTTGGTTGTGCTGGACAACGCGACTCAGAGAACTTCTTACAATTGGCTAGTTGTAGTTCTGATCATTCTGTTAGAATATATAATTTAGATATCTCAGTTTTAAAATAATCTAACTAGTAACATTTTTTTATAAGCTATAAGGTACATTAATATAAGTTTGTAAAGAGTGTACTAATAATAAGACTTAATATATTTGTTACTTTTGATTTTTTTAATTTCATTAACTTTCTGGTTCTATGTTTCCTGAGTGCCTCTGTTTCTTGTTTTTTTTTGTTTTGGAGTTATTTCTGTAGTTCAATCATTTGGGTCCACAAATATAACATAAATACGTGCATTAAATTTAATGGTATGGAGTAGTTCATGGCAAAAGAAACCATTTTTTGTCATAATTGCGTGGTCAGCGAAGTCATAAATGTTTAAGTAGTTACAAATCAGCTTCGGCCGCTAGTAATCTGCTAAATTTAGTATGAAGAACCTGAATAATCCAAGCTCGCTTGCAGCTGAAGCGTTGTCTGCGTCGTCCAACTTTCCGTCGACATGGTAATAGTTGTAACGCCTCGGCCGCAAAGACAACGGTTTAATCAAGGCGAAGTCATTCATTATTAATCTTATATTTAGCAAAGGGTGACTTGTTTAAAAGACCCATACTTAACGTGCGCATTCAATATTTGACAAGATTAATGGCCGAAAATTAAAACACAAAAAATACAACATATGGGGATTACGATGGGGTCTGTAAAACTAAAAGTTATAAACTCAAAAAACAAATATATCAAGTACCATCGAACTGGAAATCGTCTATTTCAGTCTATTTTCTGTTTGAAGAAGTCTAGTATGAATTTAACTTCCAATTCTTCGTAATCTCTCTAATTCTTCTTAGATACTTCATTTTCTCAGTTGCTTGTATAATTTATATTATTTTTCCATTTAAAACATATACAGGGTTGTATCTGAATGACATGCCCAAACTTCAGGGGGTGATTCTTTAGGCAATTTTAAGGGTACTTTGATATATAAACCATGGGCGACTTGGGCTCTCCTAAGGAGCTACACCCCTCCAAAAATGGTGGAAAATTTTGGTTTAATTTTTTTTTCTCAAAAACCATAAACGCTAGGACAACGAAATTTGGGGAATATGTTTAACTGGTAGTAGGGCATGTTTTCACCCTATTCGTACTTTCAACCTATCCTTCTAAACTACTAAACGTAACCACCCCCTTTACATTTTTGCTAAAATTTTTTTATGCAGAGAGTAATACATTAAAAAAAAAATTACATAGGTAGATGAAAGTATCCTAAAACTTTTTTGTCTCTCTAAAATTTTTCCAAAAACGACTAATTTTTGAGAAAAAAAATAATAAAGCAAACACTACCCGTTAAACAACGGGGTTGTCGATCAAAAGTTGGAATGAATTTTTAATGAAAAATCTTAGTAGGCTTTGAAATCTTTGTCAGAAATATTTTTGACGTTTAAATGTCAGTTTTTCTTACTATTATTATTGTTTTTCAAATTAATTTATGAATAAAGTTCTACCGCATTTACGCTCGTTCACTCGACGTTTCAAAATTTTAAATAAAACAATAATAATAGTAAGAAAACCACTGACATTTAAACGTCAAAATTATTTCTGACAAAGATTGCTAAGCCTGCTAAGATTTTTTCTTTAAAAATTCATTCCAACTTTCGATTAACAACGCTACAGCTTAACAGTTAGTGTTTGCTTAATTAATTTTTTTCTCAGAAACTATTAACTTTTCGAAGAACATCAGAGAGGCAAAAAAGTTTTAGAATATTTTCGTCTATCTAAATAAAATATTTCCAATGTATTTATCATCGTCATAAAAAAGATCTAGACAAAAATTGAACGGGGGTGGTTATGTTTAGTAACTTAGAAGGGAAGATTGAATGTACAAATAGGCTCGAAACATGCCCTATTATAAGCTAAACATATTTCCCAAATTTCATTTTCTTGGTGTTAATGAAAAAAAAATAAACCAAAATTTTTCTGTATACAGCGTGATTCAAAAAACCGCTGACAGACTTCTAGGGCAGGTAATACATCAAAAATTAAGATGAAAAGTCTTAATATACATGGGGTCGCAAATGTCTTCTTAACGAAATATAGCGGGTGAAAGTTTCTTTAAAATTAAACATTATCTGCAATAAAAAGCCCTTTTGTAAACATAGTTTAGTCTAGTGTTGGTTCTAGTTTTGCACTAGAATTAACACAAGACCTAGAACTAGAATAAATTCGGGTTTAGCAATCTTGAGAGATGTGCGGTTAAGCCCGAATGTTTCTAATTCTAGGTCTAATAATGTTAGTTCTAGAGACAGTGGTAAGTAGCGCTAGTTAGCATAAGACATCACTATGTTGTATATTTTTATTGAACTAAAATTCTAGGATAAGACCTAGAACTAGAATAATTCGGGTTTCGTTTAATTCGTCTTGAGAGACGTGCGACTAAATCTACTATATTTCGACTTAGTATTAAAATAATATAGACTTCTGGGGTGTATGTAGACTTTATTGTATATTTATGAATACAATTTCTTAATAAAAACGTTAGAGAAAAAACTTGTTTAGAGATGTAGCTGCGATTTCAAATCGGATATCGGAACCGTTCAAATTCGAAAACATCATCATTGTGTTCAAGCTGAACTTTCCTCAAACTTTAAATTGAACGAATTTCAATATACTATGTATTCGAATGGACTTGTAACGCATTGAAAAGATGTTTTTCGCATATCGCAACGTTTCGTATTCGATGAATTCCTGACCTTCCCGGTGTCAAAGAGCGCGGATACATGTAAAACACCTTTGTGATATTCACGAAGCGCTTACATTTTTACGAAGCTTTCATCGGAAATTTTTATATCCCCTGCGCTTATTACATTCCCGCACGCAGCGGAAGGAATCGATATTGATGCCTTTGAAATATCGACAAAAGAACGTACCTGTATTTTTCTTCGAATAAGGGTAGCGAAATATATTAAAAGGAATTTTATTAAAATGAACCTAATAATTTCATATCAGTTAACTGAAAATGCGAAAAAGTTTTTTTTATAAAGGAAATATTCGTGCATGTTTAAACTCTGTTTAGTTAGAATTGATTGTGAGTGGTTCTGAGATTAAGTAGGTTACTTATTTGGCCTAGTGCTGTTAATGTACGGCAGCATTTCTAGAGCAGGCAAGGGTGGAATTCTCAATGTAGGTGAAACAGCGGGTCCTCTCGAAAGCGCTGTGGGTGTTAAACAGAGGAAACTAGGCAAAGAGCTGTGCGGATCGGCCGTTCGATCTGACTGGGTGTAACTCGTCCTGCTCCTGCTCCTGATGCGGCTGCTGCCTGGCCCCCCACCCTGCTCAATCTCTCCTCTCTGCAGGAACGTATTTAGGAACCCCGCAATTTTCGAGAAAATTGAAACATTTTAAATTATCTAATCGGATTTTAAAATTAATATTAAATTACATTCTAATATTTATGAACAATTCATATTTGCTTTTTTTAGCATGTCAAAATAGTATTAGTAGCAGAATAAGAGGATAACAAGGTGTAAAACGGCTTATACAAATTAATAATGTAAAATGTAAAGGTTTATAAGATATACATCCGGCTCCTTCGCCATTTTTAAGATTAAGCAAACTTAAAATTTTTGTATTGATATTAAAGTACGGGTCTGGTGGATAGGTTTGGTGGTGACGACGGCATCGGAGAGCGCTTGTAGAGGGTTAGGGTGGGAGCGTCGCGACGCGCGGCGTCGTCCGCGCCGAATCGCGGGGACCTCGTCAGCAGCTCGTCCGGAGCGAAGCGTCGCACGGACACACCGCGATGAGGCTATCGGTGCTGCACAACGCTGGTGGTGCGCGACGTACTGTTGTGGTGCTCTGCGTAGTACGGTGCTCGGCCCTTTGCTGAACGCTGAACGAGAGAGGACGGACAACAACTCCGAACTATGGCTGTGCAACATGCGGTTTCCAGGTAAAACATGTTGTGGATACGCTGCTGTGGACGGGGCGTCGCGGTGCTCGTCGCCGGCCTGGCGTTGCTCTTCACTGCCGGCCTTGCTGAAGCGGCTTCCAAGAGAGGTAGGTCTAAATCAGCGGCTTTTCAAAAATTTCCCGGATAACGTTCAGTATTTACGCGTTAATACTCGAAAACCTGAGATCGAAGTTAGCCGCGTGTGCATGGTGATGTTGATGACGCGCGAGTGAGCTGGTGCGTATGAGAGTGCGATTGTGTGAGACCATCGAGGCGAGAGAGTGCCGTCCGTGTTCGTCGGATTTGCTGAAAACACATTTCGCTGAAATGTTAAGCTGAAACCGTAACGCAGCCACCGTGAACCAGGTCCGCTCTACACATCTCTATGTTTTCCTCTCTCCGTTTTTATGCTTCAATTCGTCAAGCATTATTGACACACTTTTTTTATACATACTTTATATTCGAATATATCATTAATTTAGTTGGATTTTTTAATTAACAGCAATTATGTGTTATGAGTTGTTTTAACTTATTTTAAATTCATAGTTCACTTTAGTGAATAATTAGTTGCAAATTCACTAAATAACCCCTAATACGATTATGATCTGTAAAAATGTTAGAATGAACATGTTCAATACTGATATGAACTTAAAAAGATATAGAGACTATATATTTATAAGATTTTATACAGAATAGAAATTTTGACATTTCTAATCTTTTAACAACTACAAAAATGCTCTTTCTTGATATGTGAGATTTTTTTTTTGCAAATTACTACAACAATACTTAAACTTTCCTTGTATTACTATCTGGGTTTTTTTTATTAAGGTTGTAATTTGAATCGTGCATATAAGACGAAAAAGAACACGAACTGATAATACTTTTGTCTTATATTAATTTATTCGATTGTCTTTAATTTTAGGTATTGATCTCATTCATTGACATTAAATTTTGAACTCACAATTTAATGCTCTGATGTTGTGATAATCTTGATAAATGTTAGATTTCAATTCTTGGAGATGATTCAATTTCATTAATTTCGAATGGGATTTCAAATCCGTCGGGGTCACTTAAGAGTTGTGTGATATTAGTATCATTAATATACGTGAAATATAATTCTTTTGTAGGTTTTAATAAATTGTATCAATCCACTGAGTGTTCCCAGAAAATAACACCATATCGTGACGGGTGGACAAAAATACGCACGCATATCTCACGGGAGCTTGTTATTGAAAAATCAAATAAGCAGTTCACCTACATTGATATATCGCCAGTATCATTCATCTTTTGAAAGTGGTTACTTATTTGCGATCTCCACAACTGTACTAATTCTTGGAAAAAACAGTAACCTCATCTGTATCAAAGTTTGCTATTACGGACGTATGTGAGGTAATGAGTTGCCTAACCTCGTTAATCTTGTATGGAATATTTGCGATATCTGGACACTTCGTTATTTTCTTGTATACGAAGTTTTTCTTTTATGTAATAAGATTAAAGATAAAACAATTAATGGGGATCTATTCTATGTGGTATTATTATATTAAATCCTTCGTGTTGACAAAGACTACGTTGTGTAAAAGTAAAGTATCATTAAAAATTAATTTGCGAACATTCAAAGGCAGAAAGAAATTTCAATTCTTTGAATTCAATGTATAAAAGTTCTACTTTTGATGAATGGGCTTTGTTTGAGTTATCGTGGAAAGTACTCCGATAAAAATCCTGGCATTTCTTTTGATCACAACAATAATAATTTCCTTAATCTTAGCCTTTCTTTCTTACGTTTTGACGATAGTTGTCAAAACCTGTATCGGTTTTCTAAGTAGTTGCTTCACTCAAGATCTATGTTTCTATTTCCCATAGCAAAACAGAAGAGATATAACAACGAAGGAGTCAGACTGTTGTAGTTAGCGTAAAGAAACAAGAAACTCATGCCACTTTGATAAATACGGCTCTCGCTTTCTTTATCCTGCAGTGAATTTCTTGTAAGTGGTTCCATTAGTCGTTGAGTGTAGTTCCTAAATTTAGTATAAGGGGTTCATATGGAACCTCTTGCTATCATACCCTGTATGACCGGTCTCAGCGAGAAAAATTTGAGAATGCAGACTTAAGTATTACCAACTTTATTTTTTTAAATGGAACACCCTGTATATTTTTACATATTTGGATTTGTCTGTTGTCAAGGTTTATAAATAACTTTACTTTTTGCAATTTGATTCGGTCGTTCTCGAGTTATTCGAATTTTTCTAGAAAAATCTGCTCCAGCAGACATTTGTTCAAAAAATCAGAAAACACTCAATTTTTGAGATATCAATTTAGGATTCAGAACATGCTTAAGCAACGTGATGGAGTATGTTTTGGTGCCGAGTACTGCGGTCTAGAACGTTTGATCACTTTACTATGGCACGTTAACTTTTCAAAATTTGGAAGTACCATAACTTCATTTTTTTAAATGGCACCCCCCATATTTTATTTTTTAGTCGTCTTCGGTGTCTCATTCTACATCTTTTATATCCCATATGGCCCATACCTAATATTAATAGTTTGGGAGATAATTAGGGTTTTTTGAAAAATGCACACATATCATATGGATATTTAGCCTAGTGTGCCATGAAAAACAAGCCTTCTCAATGAGTTCTTGTCAAAGACTCACTTGTTTACGTCACTTGATGCATGTGAGCTAATAATTATCTGTTATGTCCCTTAATATTAGTACTGAAACGAGTTAAAATCGATAACAATAACGAAAGTAATATTTACACAAATCAAGAAATTCTTAATTTATTTTTTTTGCATGAAAAGCGCGACAAAGTTCGTAGTATGATTCCCAGATCTTCTTTGGCAGCTCGAATTGAGGTGTTGGGACTGGGCTCGAAATAAGCCAAGGTATTCACCTCTTCCGTTGCATTATCTACTACATTTTTTGGTCAGTTTAACACGTGATTAATTCGTCCAAAATGCAAAAAATTTGCTTCTATTCCTCTAAATTTACCTTTTGTCATCGGAGATAAATGTGGATAATTTTCATTAAACATTCTGCAAGTTCTACTAAGAACTTTGTCGCACTTTTCGTGCACAAAAAATAAATTATGGATTTCTTCATTTGTATAAACATTATTTACGTTATTAATATCCATTTTAACTGGTTTTAGACTCACAAGCATCAAACAACCTAAATTAGACTTTGACGTTTATCAATAAGTCATTAAACATTTGTTTTCCATGGCACACTAGGTTAATATCCATATGATATGTGAGCATTTTTCAAAAAACCCTAATTATTTCTCAAACTATTAATGTTAGGCATAGGACATATGGAATATAAAAGATGTAAAATGAGACGCCGAAGACGACTAAGTAATAAAATATGGGGGGTGCCATTTAAAAAAATGAAGTTATGGTGCTTCCAAATTTCGAAAAGTTAACGTATCATAGTAAAGTGACCAAACGATCTAGACAGCCGTTCTCGGCACCAAAACATACTCCATCATGTTGTTTAAGCATGTTCTGAATCCTAAATTGATATCTCAAAAATTGAGTGTTCTATGATTTTTTGAACAAATGTCCGCTGGAGCAAATTTTTCTAGAAAAATTCGAATAACTCGAGAATTGCTGGTTCAAATTGCAAAAAGTAAAGTTATTTATAAACCTTCAAAACAGACAAATCCAAATATGTAAAAATATACAGGGTGTTCCATTTAAAAAAATAAAGTAGGTGGCGACTTCCGGTATAACCGGAAGTGCTAGAAATCTGAAAATATTTTAGATGAAGAGAACGTAATTGATAATACTTAAGTCTGCATTCTCAAATTTTTTGTTTGGCCAGAACCCCAGAAACGTTTAATGACCGGTCTCGCGGAGACACCCTGTATATTTCGTTTTATCGACATTTCAGTTCAACAAACTTCTCTGTTCTTGGTGACGAATTTCTTACCCAGTTTCTCACAACTTTAGTTCTCAGTCTTTTCTGGTCATAAAATTGGAAAGTGCGAAGGTCTTGTGAATTCTTTTTCGTTGTGGTGGTTGCTTTGTCTAATCCGTAAATTGTTAATGTTCTGCCAAGACATCGTTTGTTGAAGTCTCGAAATACAATGATTTCCAGAAATGTTAATAATATGAAACGGAGTTCCAACACATAATCTTATTAATTACGCTTTAATTACAATCGTAAAATGTTTTTGGGAGCTAAAGTGGGTTGGAATTAGAACCCACTTTGTGTTGTACTGCCTTTGTGTTTTAGCGTTGTACCTGCTTTTATTACAGACAGGTATGCGTAAATATCGATTATTTATTAGCGTCACTACCCATGCAATAATCATATCCTTTATATTTCCTGCCAATATATCATCTCATCAACTTTTTCTTTAATTAATAAATCTGGAGCAGTTTAATTAAATCCATTTAATTAATTAATAGGCAAACAGTTTCAAACATAGTAACACATTTGTCTATTGTAGTTATTCAGTGAAGCTTAAATAACACGGTATGTTGATATTGCGAATAGATGTTATTTAAGAGTACATAATGCAACCGCAGTGTACCAGTCTGTAACCAAATTTGCCGCAATAATTTACTGGTAATGTTATGCATAAATACGCGGACCCGAAGTCATGAATGCTAATAGTCAATCCGCGTTAAATTCTGGCCGCATATCGGCCATCCAGTTCGTCTAAACACTAACGAGCGCCGGCGCTCTGCGTTTTCCCAAGAGTAATCGCGTATGCTAAACGCATAAGTCGTGACCGCAAAAAATTGATGGCGAAATCTGGTTGGGGCGCATTGCAGCAATTAATCAAGCCAATTAATAATAAATAAAATGCCCCGGATAACGTTAAATCAAGCGCATGTGACCTGCATATTATACAAGTTGATTTGCATTTTAATATTTTGAGAAAAAAAAAACCGGTTAAAACGTGCCTCGTATTTTCCTATGATAATTTAAATAAAACACATTTCCATCAAAACATTGAATTTTTCATCTAAAAATTTACAATTGTGTAGATAATAATTTGGACTCATAAACCACTTACCCACAAATGAAGTTATTAAACATTCATTACGTTTGGAAAAAGTTAAATTGAATTAATCTCTTCATTTAATAGAATTAATA